GGCACAATCTATAAGGATACGATTGGCAGATAACCAATACATCCCTAAGATTATGTCAATATCAACCAAAGGCAAACAAATCAAGTTTACCTTGTACTTCTTCCCACTCACAACAATAGGGCAGCCAACACACAGCTTAGAAGCAACTACTGAAGCAGAAGCGGGCGTCGACACTAGCAGTCTCAACCCTAAGTCACACAGGCACTCCCAACATAGCAACACAGACATAGGAAATAAAAGAATGGGAAGCCCCAGAATCAAACAAAAGCATCACATCCTTACCAGCAGCGTTGCCCTTCCCCTTCACTAGGTCAGAAGAAGTCGAAGCCTCAGCACCCGTCAAAGTGAACACCCTACCAGCTGTAGTGGGTCTGTCACCCCTCTGAGTCTCAGTCCTCTGCACACTACTCCTCTGAGTATCAGCTCTCTGCGCATCACTCCTCTGAGTACTCCTCTCCAGTCTACTCCTGGTGGGACAATTGAAAGACACATGGCCCATCTGCTGACATCTGAAACATCTGCTCTCAGTGTGTGGACAATCCCTGATCAAATGGGATCCACCACACCTGTAACACCTAAGGGCAACACCTCCACTCTGTCCTCCTCCTCTGGTAGTCTCAGCAGGTTGCCTGATGACAGGACCCCCTTGCTGTGGCTGGGGCTTATCATACGGCTTCCTCTGACTTCCACCTCCCCTCTTGGACCCAGCTGGTCCCTCAGTAGCTCTGATCACACGGTTACCCCTTCCAACCTCTCCACAATCTTCGCCTTCTCTACAAAGGCCGGAAACTCGGTGATGGCCATAGGCACCACCACCTTCTTCAACTCATACTTCATACTCTCAACAAACTTTCTGCACTTCCAGGCCTCAGAAATAGCCTGTGAATAAAAATGAGCCAAGTGCTCGAACCTCATCGCATACTCCGATACAGATAGCCCTCCCTGGTGTAACCGCATGAACTCCGCCTCCTTGGCGTGCCTCACGCTCTCCGGGAAATACTTTTCCGGGAACACTATCCTAAAGCACTCCCAGTCAACTGTAACTCCTCTCGCCACAAGCACCTGATAAGTGCCCCTCCACCAATGTTCGGCCTCTCCCATAAGCATATACACAACATATGCCAACCTCTTCTCAGGAGAACATCCCAGTACGGCAAAAATCTTCTCCAACTCACATATCCAGCGGTCAGCTGCCTCTGGATATGCATCTCCCGCAAACTGTGGAGGATGACACTTCCGGAACTCAGCTAGGTCCCGGCTCTCCTGTGACCCCGTGGGCCTTGCTGCACCAGCTGCAGCTCTTTCAGCTTCCATCCGAGCAAAATAAGCATTTTGTTGCTGCATAGCCATAGCCATCATCTCTATGGCACGGGCTATTTGTTCGTTGGTTCTAGTCATCGTCTACAAAAATAACAACATCTTCAGTATACTACCACTCAACCAATCAATAATTAACAACACAACAATTCATCACATCAATCAACACAGCAAACAACACAACAAGACAGTACAACACAGAGTTAACACAACAAAAGCCTAAAGGAACCACCCCCAAAGAGTGTCCACTAGACTCGAACTGCTCTGATACCACTAAAGTGTAATGACCCGACTGGTCACTACACTCCCAACCACAACGTACCGGAAACACTAGACAGAATAGAACGAGTATATAAATATAGGATCTAGAATATAAATATATACAAATGTCCCAATCCGACTAGAGTTAGGGTGTACAATTCAAAAATACATCCAAAGCAACTGTATCAAGCGGCTGAAACAAACAAAAACATCAAAAGGAGTCAGCTCCGCCTGCCAGCTACAGACTCACCATTAGCCACCACCTATCCCTGCTCTACTCCCATACATAGTATGATCATCACAGTCCAACCACATGGAAGCAACAAAAGGGTAAGCTAGCATAAAAAGGAACAACATATAGGAAGATTTAAGTAATATGAACATCTACAACTATCAATACATCATCAACATACATTCCATCGATTTTACAGCATAATCATCAATAAGCATATAATGCGTCGTCACGCATATCAACTCGGAGATCTCCTACAACAACTCAGCCTTTCGGCCTACATCAACTCAGCCTTACGGCCTACAACAACTCAGCCTTGCGGCCTACATCAACTCAGCCTTGCGGCCTACATCATCAAATATCAACATACAGCACAACAAAACTTTACAGCTCAACATATCATCAAGCAGCGTTAACCACCAGTCATCACATTATAATCAAAAACTGCTACTTAAACTCAACATAAACAACCTCTAACATCCATTAGTGAAATCACATCTCCGCGCCCGGCGCACTCGTGGTTGCGCCCAGCGTGGTACAACCAGAGAGCACCAGGGCTAATGCGCCTAGCACAAACATGCCCGCGCCCGGTGGGACTCAGCCCGAGAGCCCAAGGCTTACATGCGCCTGGCGCAATACCAATTACGCCTAGCGCAGACCAGGCAGAGACTCCAAAGAGTCCCATGCGCCCAACGTGCCCAAACCCGCGCCCGACGCGGGGTAGGCAGAGACCTCCATTGGTCTCGCGCCCAGCGCAATTCAAATTGCGCCCAACGCCCACAAGGTAGAGACTCCCAAGGAGTCTCATGCCCAACGCGACAAGGATCGTGCTCAACGCCATACCAGAAGTACAAAATCAAGTCACAACCGATATCGCGCCTGGCGTGGTTCGAGTCCCGCCCGGCGTGGACCATCCAGAGGCTAACATCCTCAAGCCCGCCCGACGCATACATCTTTGCGCCCGACGGCTTGCCTAAATGCTGCCCTCGAGTGGCCACGCGCCCGGCGCGAAGAATTGCGCTAAGCGCGAACTCAGCAGCAGACCTCCCTATTTTCAAAAATCTCATCAGAACCTGCAAAACAACCAGGAAATTCCACATGCAATCCATTCCAGATATCACATTTCCATCAAACATCTCAAAAATACCACCTTTTTCAACATGCAACAACAAATCAAGAAATCCCCAAATTTTTCCTCAAATCCCCGAATAACCCCGAAAACACTTCCTTTGAATTTCAGCCAAGAAGCAGTTATTCACAGTCATCCATTGAGTACTAAGACTCAATTTTCAACTCAAAATGCACAAAAGTCTAGCTTCCCTTACCTCGGTTCAACAGCTCCGAGCTCCGGGGAGAGGAGGACGAAAGAGAGAACGAAAATGGCTTGAAAGGATGAGGAAGGAGAAGGAAGAAATCCGCACACCCCAGCTAGCAATCCAACTACTCAGCACCTAAGCTCACCCACGAAGGAAGAATCAGCAAATGAGTAGGAAGAGTTTGAGGAAGAATGAGTGAATGAGAGAATGGGAATGAAAATGAGTATGGGGAAGAGGGGAAAAATAAGAGCGGGTCTCACATAGAACATGTTCATGAACTATTTTTTTAAAACAAACTCTCAAAATCCTTCTCACATATGCAAAATCAGAAAAATGAGGGATTTTAATATTTTTTGTTTTGTTTTTAATTTGTTCTTTATTTTCAAAATTTTACATTAAAAAGTGAAAACAAAAGCAAAAAAAAAGATATTTTACTGTTTCGTATATGAACTTCAAAAAAAAAAAAGTATTTTCTTAAACCAACTTCTAATGTGACAAAATTAAAAACATCTCACCTTCCTCCTCCATTGAAGAGTTGGGTTTACAAATCTTAATTAACTACTTGATCATTCCTTAAAACGTTAACGTTATCCCAAAGGTCATATTTATCCAAAATACAAAACATATAAATTTGTCATCCACTTTAAATTTGGTATCACTGTTGGCATTGATTCATCTACACACGATATTATCCTTTTAATAAGCTGCAATATTGCTATTCAACTGAATAATATGTAACATAAAATTAATAGGCTAAATTACTTTTTCTCTCTCTGTCTCTCTTTTTATTTTTATTTTTTTTATTACTAAAAAGTATAATTAATTTCTTAATTTTTAAAATTCAATCAATGTAATATTTTCGTCCAATTAACATTAACGTTATCAGTGGCTTTGAACACGTTTAACAAATTTTAACAGTTAATGGTGTTATTATTAATTGGATGAAAATAACAATATGGAATTTATTTTTAAAATTAAGGGATCAAATTAAATTTTTTAATAATATAAAAACTAAATTAAACAAATTAAATAAAGAGGGAAAAAAATCAAAACATGTTGAAAACACCCTAATCTCGATGAAAAGTACTAATATCAATTACAAAATAATAAGACCTTAAATCCTACAAAGCATAGACGCACAACACGAAAAGCAAGTTATTGGGCAACAAATAAACATCATTTAGAATAACATTAAGATACCCTACGTTTAACGGAGAAGAGTGATGTATCTTGTAAATTAATTTTTAAACCCTTCTAGTTTTTTCTAAAAAAATATATCGTTAGGATCTCATAAAAATTTTGCCATTTTTCTTCGTTGTTAGAAGTGGTCTTAATAACAAGTGCCTTGTATTTTTCCTAACTATGCTAAATATTTATTTATGATAAAAAAAATACATTTTTACGATATTTAAATATTTCATATTTTAAAGCAATAGTATAAGAATTGTTTATTGAATTAATATACTTATACATAATAATATTATAGCAGATAAAGTGTGAAGTGACATGGATCAACCTTGTCCTATCTCAGCGTGCTTAGCAATATCCGGTTTTTTACCGGTCCACCGGTTTATCCTTATCTAGATATAGTAATATTTTGATTATGAAAATAACATATCATAATCATAAATATCGAATTCCACAGTAGATCATAGTGCTGGTGCTCCAATGACTAATAATTGCAGAAAGGGCATATATCCTTCACGTGACATTATGCAAACGGGTACCACCAAATATATAATATTTAAATACGCAGCTAACATAAGAGGCTTATCTAATTAAACTTAGATCATAAACTTTTCATTAATCCATGATTACATAAACTAATTTGTAGAAAACATGTATCCAATCGAAATTAAGGAGATGAATTGTCGATAGGCGAAGGTTGACATGTGTCGTGTCCATGGCCTTATACTGCGATTCAAATCATCCTTTTGTTCCTCTCCCCTCCATTTTTACCTTCCACTTTGCAACCTCTCAACCAAACGTTATCTTTCTACGCATACCCTTTACTTCTAAATTCTTGCTTTTTCTTTTCTTCCATAGGCAGTGATAGTGCCTTCTGTGCTGCCATGGCTGTCACACAGTTCAACCCCACTTCCCAAAAACCTCACTTTCGCTCATCTCAGCTCTCCTTTCTATCAAGGTCTCTCCCTAGACACCGCCACTGTGCTTTTCCAGGGGTTCACAGAACTCAACGTGCTAGGATTTCTTGCTCTGTTGCGCCAAAGTGAGTAACTTTATTGTTTTCGTTCAACATTTTCTGTTTTCAGCTACTTGGGTCTGATTCAATTTTCCTCTTTTCGATTACCAGTGAAGTGCAGGTGCCAGCTGTGAAAACCGAGGATCCCAAGAGTAAGCCTGATTGCTATGGTGTCTTCTGCCTTACGTATGATTTGAGGGCTGTGAGTATCCCTTCCCCTCTCTTCTGTATGTGTATCTGTTGTTTTAAGTTCAAATTGTGGGTTTTGTTCATGGTTCTGTGAGTGAGTGACTTCCCCACTACTGAAATATTATTCTTTGTCTTCCACAACAAAACTATGCCTTTCAGAGATGTCAAAATGCAGAGTTTAATCAATGTTTACCTTCACTGCTATTTGATCGTATTGTTTTTGACAGTTAGTCTTCAATCGTATGTAATTTTAGATCAGTAATGCTGGAGAAATCTATAAGGCAATATAAGAAATGTCTTATATTGGTTGTCGGAACCATTTAGGAACAGAAACCAGAAACAAATTGGAGTTGTGTCCATGAAACTGTCCTCCATGTTATAGGAATTCGTACAGCTACCTCGGTCCTTTTAATTTTGTCAAGATACAAGGTGCCACCACTCACCATCTAAGAATTAGAACATTTGTTTCATTTGGTGTTCTTTTTTATAAATTCAACATTGTTCTACCTAATGTAACGACAAAGTATGTACCGTCAGTTATTGTCTTTGATAGCATGATGTAACTGGAATTGAATAGCAATGCTTCTTTGCTGTAGTGATACTGCCATTTATGAAAATTGTTGGGGCTATTCTTGATATTTTTAACTTACTGTGAAGTATGCATTATCTTGTAAATCGGTCAATCTTTTTTTCTTTCCAATTTTCCATTTTTATATACAATTTCATTTCAATTAAATATATATATATATATATATATATATATATACACACACACACAAATAACATGAACAATTAATTAAATTTGAGGACATTAAAGTAATAATATATTGATGTTATTTCTAATGAAATATGTTGGGCACCAGCCTAATGGAGACATTTGTGTGTGTATAAACTCATGTTCTTCTTCTTATTCTAACAACATGGGACTTTGATTGTGTCCCAATAATATATTTAAAAGAGGGGAGAGGATAAACATGTGTGCATGCGAGTCTAATGGCTCTTTGATGTTATCACACAGTTAAAATTGTCATTCTACGCTATGTCTCGTTGAAATATTTGGCCAATGTTTTTGCAGGAAGAAGAGACAAGATCCTGGAAGAAATTAATTAACATTGCAGTCTCAGGTGCTGCGGGAATGATTGCAAATCATCTACTTTTCAAGGTGAATGTATTTTGGATTTAAAAAAGAATTGTGTCAGTGAAGCACATTAGAAGTTCAACTTATCTATTAACTTAATTTATTTTCAAGTGGCTTTTTTATTATATCAGTACCCTCAGATTAGGTTTATTATTGTCATTGAAACGGTAATAAGTGCATAACACAATTTCTTCTTATCTGGTTGATGTTGCTGAATATGTTGGTTGTGGAGCCTTCTAAAAACTGGAATTTTTCTTTTTGTAACTATTGATTGTGGAATTTATTGTAATAACTGATAACCACATATATGGATCAACACTGCTGTGCATTCTTGACCGTAATCATGCATCACTTTGAGTTAGAATTTACTTATGTTTCTCTATTTCAATTGAAACTCACTACTATCTACAAATTTTGAACATTTTTCGGAAGCACCACATTCTTCTATCTTTGTTGTTAAATATAATTGAATTTAGCATGAAAGATAAATTGAATATTTGGTGATTTTTCAAGAAGACAGTTATTTTGCATGTACTTTGAGATTTATTTTATGAGACCTACTACCTTTAATGATCAAGCTATTTCATTCCACTCTAGAACCTGAGTTGATTTATTTGTCAGATTGCATCTGGTGAAGTTTTTGGTCCAAATCAACCTGTTGCTCTGAAATTATTGGGATCAGAAAGGTCAATCCAAGCTCTTGAAGGTAAATTTGGCATCTGTTTTTGATTGCAAATGAGAATAATTAGTTGTACATCTTCCACCTGTTGTTAGAAAAGCTAACCCATCTATGAATAGTTTAAATTCCCAAAATTTCCTTTTGTTTTGCATTTCAAAATTATAACATACAAAACATGGAAAAAAATCGTACAATTATGATATTTGAGGGAATAAAATTGTTCAATTAAAATTTGAGAGATTAAAATCACACAACAATAATACTTGAGCAACTAATATTACTCAATTAAAATTTGGAGGGCTAAAATCACAAGATTACGATACTTAAGGGACAACAATGCATTTAAGCCTTTTTTTTATTATGCTTTTAACTGAAACAAGATACACCTAAATGTTGACTAATATAAGTACATATAACACATACTGATGTTCTAATTCAACATGCAGGTGTTGCAATGGAACTGGAGGACTCTTTGTTTCCTTTGTTGAGGGAAGTAAGTATTGGTATTGATCCTTATGAGGTGTTCCAAGATGCAGAATGGGCTTTGCTAATAGGTGCAAAGCCTCGAGGTCCTGGAATGGAGCGAGCAGACTTGTTAGACATAAATGGGCAGATTTATGCAGAGCAGGTAAAATGATATTCAAATTTAAGCATAGTTATTGCTTTCTGCTAAAGTCCAGTTAATTATGACGTCATAAACCTTTTGTACAACAGGGAAAAGCATTAAATGCTGTGGCATCCCGCAATGTCAAAGTTATAGTAGTGGGAAACCCTTGCAATACAAAGTAAGCTTGGCCTTTTATGTGTAAACTTGGAGTTGCATGTTGTGCCTGTTTATGCTTATTGTGTATTTAAATGCAGTGCATTAATATGCTTGAAGAACGCTCCTAACATTCCTGCAAAAAATTTCCATGCTTTAACTCGCTTAGATGAGAACAGGGCAAAATGTCAGGTAACAAAGTTTAAAAACTTCACCTTTTGAAATTGTTCTACAAAAGAAAAATAACAACTATTTTCTCTACATTGTCTCGATGAAATGCACAGTTAGCCCTCAAGGCAGGTGTCTTCTACGATAAAGTGTCAAATGTGACGATATGGGGCAACCACTCAACTACTCAGGTCATTGAAGGATCATTACCAGAATAATGTGCATGAACTAAATTTCTTTAACTATGTTTTATGATACGGTGTTATCTTGTTAATAGGTCCCTGACTTCCTAAATGCTAGAATTGATGGTTTGCCGGTCAAAGAAGTGGTTAGGGATCACAAGTGGTTGGAGGAAGAGTTCACTGAAAAGGTTCAAAAGGTAAAATTTGTAATTAGCATCCATAGCTAAATACATGGTATAAAAGATATGTAGTTTGTGCTATACGTGACAAGTACTTGTTTGATTGTCAGAGAGGTGGTGCGCTTATTCAAAAATGGGGAAGATCATCAGCTGCATCAACTTCTGTGTCAATTGTTGATGCCATACGATCTTTAATAACTCCTACTCCTGAGGGTGATTGGTTTTCTTCTGGTGTAAGTTGATATCAGTTGAATGATCTCATGTATTTACTTGTTAAAGAATTAGATGAGTTTTTATTTGATGCCTTTTTATTCTCTTATTTTTTGAGTTACTATTTCAATCACTAACTCTGCAATTGTAACACTAGGTATATACCGATGGAAATCCTTATGGAATAACTGAGGGTATTGTTTTCAGTATGCCATGTCGATCAAAGGTGAGTTTGCTCACTGTGTTCATTTTATTTAATTTCTAAAAAGTTCTTTTGTTCCTCCTATGACTAAAGTTTTTATCCATTAGGGTGATGGTGATTATGAACTTGTCAAAGATGTTATATTTGATGACTACCTCCGAAAGCGAATAGCTAAGGTAAATATGAAAGTTCATACATTAATCTGGTAAAGACTGAAAAAGTTCTTTTTATCATTATATACAGTATAATTATTTTTCTTATAGTTATACAACAACTTCAAATCTGGTAAAGACTGAAAAAGTTCTTTTTATCATTATATACAGTATAATTATTTTTACAGCATATAAAATAAATGTTGTTATGATTATTAAATTTGCATTGTGTACCAGGACCAGGTGCCTGATTTATATAAAAAAAAAAAAACCTTATAAATGCAGTTTAACTTTTATCGACAGAGCCTAAGTTATTAAAATCTTGTGATACATGATATAAATCATATAATCTGATACAATTTAGCTACATATTGAATTGTATCGTTAGATGAATCTCAATTGACTTTGAATTTTACAATACATTAATCAATCGGTGCAATTTCGCATCGATGAATCACACAATTCCACTATTTTATTTGTGAGTCACTGAGAAATTATAATAAAGGCAGAGTGTGTGGGGAAGAAAAAAGAGGGAAATGGAAAAATGAAAAAAATGCGGTGAGCGTGGATCGAACACGCGACCTTCAGATCTTCAGTCTGACGCTCTCCCAACTGAGCTATCCCCGCATTTAACTATGCACCAGCCGGGAATCGAACCCGGGTCTGTACCGTGGCAGGGTACTATTCTACCACTAGACCACTGGTGCTTCTTGCTCCTTCATGTTTAAGAACCTATTTAATTATCTTGGCCGAATCAAATTTTAAAATTGGCCTATTGCTCATTGAACATTATATATCATCTATGTGATATATTTAAAACTATTTTTCATAGTCTGAATCGTAATATTCGATACAAATTATTATTCATGATTTGAATACCTTAGCCTGAGCCAATGTGAATCTTACTATTTTGCAGACAGAAGCTGAGTTATTGGCTGAGAAGAGATGTGTGGCTCACCTAACAGGCGAGGTAAACATCATATCATATCATGATCATGATCATGATCATGATCACCGTACCATATTTAGTTACTTATGCTGATATTCATTATGTTAACTTGTCATAGGGAATTGCTGTTTGTGATCTACCTGGTGATACCATGCTTCCAGGAGAAATGTAACAATCCAATCTCCTTAATGCCAAAGCAGATATAAGATATTGAAATGGGTCCTTTGTACCAGTGTTGAAAGGTACTAGTTAAGGAATCAATAAATAAAATGTTATTTTGTTGAAAATCATGGTAGGTGAATGTTATATTTTCTCATTTTTGATTCCTTAACAAGTGTCTTTACCATATCAGGTAACATTCTCTTATTGATAATAAGATCACACTAATTGATGTAGAACTATGATGCACTGATACGATACGCGTATCGGATACGACATGTATCCGATACAACAATATGATTATTTTAAAATATATAGGATACGATACTTGTAAGATACGTGTCATCATATATATCAATGTTCATACAATATAATAATTGTGTATTTGTAATTTTGATCAAAATTCATAAACATTAAATATATAATTGCTATTTTGCAAATCCAAATTAAAAACATACTTATCATACATTACTAAAAATAAATAAATTATAAATCATTTCATCATAAATTACTTTTTATATTTACAAATAAAAATAATATTACTTATTTCATTCCTTTCTTAAAATTATCTATATAGAAGATAATTTTCATTTACAGTTTATCAAGGACTAATATTTCTATGTTTCTATATTAAATATGTTTATATATTTTATTTAGCTGTAATGAATATTTCATAATTTTTCAAAAATTTAAATATTTTATTAATACGTATCACTAATAAGTATCGGTGAAATATCTGAGAGTATTGAAATTGAATAAAAATTTTATAATATTTTTAAAGGTTAGGATACTTCATTGACACGTATCGAAGTATCAAAGAGTATCGTATCGGATATGTATCAGATAAGGATACGTAAAGTAAATTGAAGTATCGGTGTTTTATAGATGGAGAATAATGGTGGATATGGGATATGATGCAGTAATAATAAAAGTTTGAAAACATTCATTTGATTTTGAAACTTCCAGGGCCGAAGCTCCTCAATTATGTAAAAGTAATTTCAACTTATGTCTTGAATTCAACGTGCTTAACAATACGTTGCAAACCAAATGCTCATCCCTTACATTGCATGCTGAATTTGTGTTTTATCCAAACATATCATATTTATTTTAAAAAAGGTGTTAAGAGTAATGTTGTAGCTTTAACCAAATGTCTCAAGAATAGGTAAAGAATCCAGCACAAGCACAGTAAAACTTTTATTTTGTGCCATAAGCATAATTAAAGTAGTACGAAAAAACGTAGACGGTTGTCTTCACTCTTCTACGCTCCAACAGCTGCAAAGGACAAAAAAGAAAGAAAGAAAAGGATGAAAGTCAAACATGAAAGCATTGTGTGCATCAAATTCAAAAGAAAACGACTAGACAAAAACGATGGGTGGATGGATCCATGTCCAAGCATATGCACAGCACAAATTCATTAATAAATATGGAAGTATTATTTTTGTTTTTATTATTCTAATAGAATTTCTTGTAAATGTTTATAATCATCCATAAGAATAAAACAACATTGAATATTTTCTTAAATTATTGTATTGGTTTACTTTAACTTATTATATTTATCTAACAGGGTCCAAAATCTTAGAAATGGTTAAAGAGGTTGAAAATGAAAAGTGAGGATAAGTTAAATAATTAACTGAAAAAAATACGTTAAAACAAAATAAAATAATAAAATACAATGCCGACAAAGATAAAATTAGAGTAAAAAAAATCTGCAATACTTTATTTTTTGTCTTGACTGATAATTATTTTTTAACATAAATTCAGTATTTTTTCTTAAAATAACACAAAAATAATTAAATGTACCAAAAATAAAAATTAAGTTGTTAAAACCAAAACATATTTTTTGTTACGTTGTCTATTTCAAAAATTGAAGATAAATATTTTAGATTATTAAATTTATACCACAAAAAATTGTTTACATAATTCAACAATTAGGTTGTGTTTAACTAAGTTTTCTGAAATCTTGCTTAGGAATTTAGTAGATCAATTGTGTATTTACTATTTATGTTATTATATAATGATTAGCCAATGAATAGAAGAAGAAAAAAAAACAACTATTTTACTCAACAAAAGACCTAAAAAGTAAAACTTCATAAAACTAATTAAGAAACCTTTTAAAAAAATTGATTCTAAAACATTACTTTTATAGGAATTTATCCTTGCTGACACTAACCTGCACTAATATGTAATATTTATAGGAAAATAAAATAAGCAAAGATAAAATAATGAATTTTTAAAATAAATTGAAAATAACTTATACTCGATTATTTTAAAAGTTCTCCCACGTAAGCCAAGCCAGATATAAATGTAAAAAAGAAAAATTATTTAAAATAAAATTAAAAAAAATCTTTTTAATAAACAAAAAATCTAAAAGGGAGAACTTTTCAAAAAGCTAATTAAGAAACTGTTACTTGAAAGAAAGAAAAACAGTCAAAACAATACTTTTACAAAGGACTTACTTATCATCATGTCATGAATCTGCATTAATATATAATATTCCTCCGAGTACAAGACTAAATTAATTTAACAATTTATTAAAAATAATTATAAGAAAATAAAATAGAGAATATATAATAGTTAATTTTTAATAAAGTAAAATATATCAATTATTTTAAAAATTCTCATAACATGTTGATAGATAATTACAACTTCAGAAATAGAATTTCGATAGGAAGTACTACTTTATTTCTATAAAACTAGGTGAACTACTTTATTTTTATAAAAATGGATCCAATAAAAAAAAAATTATACTTGATCAAACCAAAAAATAAAAACTATAAACCTTTGCAAATTAAAGATTAAACACCATTTCAATTAGAAACTACACATAAACTAAAAGTGGATACCTCAAATCTTAATCCTAAACGTTAGACTTTTGATATATTATATTATAATCAAAATGAGATTCCATCTTTCCGGTAACTTTTTACACATTTAATTTCTTAAATTTTTTTCAATCATAACATCAATCCTTTTACCAATTTTCATCTACCAAGTATTGTCAAATTACTGTTTTATATTAAAAATGCCCATAAATTAAAATGGTTAAATTATTATCTATTTAAAATCCACTGATAAAAAAAAAAAAGTTAAATTTTCTTCCTTTTAGAACCAAACCTCACTTAACAAATTCCTTCATTTTTTATTTTCTCAAAATTTATACTTACAAATCTTGCAAATAATTTCTAATACCCATCTTTTAAATTCTCTCTTATAACTAGCCCATTAAATTCCCATTCACTTTGTTAACATGAATTTAAAAATTTTATATAAACACCATGATTAATATTAATAATTAAAAGATGAAAAACTATATTTTAATACAAAATTATTTAAACAAATTAAAATCAAACATTAATCATACTCACAATAGAGATTAAGAATACAATAAATCCTAAAAATTAAATTGAATTAAGCTTCAATTATCATGGATGACGAATAGAGATTAAGAATACTCCTAATAAATTATTTGTCAAATTAGACCTCAAGCCAGAGTCCGAAACAGACCAGAGTTTTCACAACCTCGTCGTCTTAAAATTTATCATGAAAAAACTCACTCCTGTTCTCGTAAATTGAAAACCAAATATAATTTTCTCATATGTTACATTTTAACAAAACAAAATGACGTTCAATTTTTACACCTATCTCATCATAAACATGAAATAAATCCCCACCCATTTAATAACAGAAAACTATTTTAACACAAAATTGAACATAAACTGTTGAAAGAGAGAATCCACTCTAATGACAGACAGGACAAGACCAAGTGAACCAAAATACATGATCAATTTAATAAACAACGGTCAGCCTCTATCAGTCAGAACTCTGCATCTATTACTATTGAAAGTATGTAACAATAATCTATATCACGAATCGTATCCAAGACAGTATTACTCTATCTGCTGGCACTCTTAAAAAGATGCATACGAAGAATGTATAAATCAGTATGACTAAGGTACCATAAAAACAAATCTACAAAGTCACGGGATCCTAGTCATTCAATGAGTGCCATCAAACACTAAACAATACTTAACTGACTCCAGCTTATTCTCTAGTAGCCAAACCATATTTGTAGTCATTTACCAGTATACATGATGCTTCCAATCTTGCAACTTAGTGAAAGAATAAGAACTGAGAAGCCCGTCAAGAAAATCCAGCCATGCGACAACACAAATGCGGTCTTGCTAGAGACCAAGCCAGAATCCACATCCGGTTGAGAAAACCCAGTAGATACTACGGTGTTAAACCCTCCATTTTTGCCCATTGTCCAATCCATCGCATTGCCTCTAAAAGTAACGTTGGTTATGCTGATCATACCTGTAGTTATATGAGCAGGACTGGAAGACTGAGCTGCAGGATGAAGCCCAAGAGCAATCTCCTTAGCAGGAAACTCCAAAGCATGTGCAGGAGCAGCAGGTATGTTGGCCAACCATCCATAGGCCTGCTCAACAAATGAATTTGTACTTCCTGCCAAACAATAATTGAGAACAAAATAAAAGTCAGAATGGATAGCCTACTAGTTTACAGGCTATATTGCACACAGGAGAACACATCAAAAGAACACCTTGAGAAACTAGGATGCAAAGTGAACAGGAATCTTACCTGGTACTAATTTCTCCTGTTTATTCTGCACTGAAGACGCTTCATTGCTAGTTTTTGCTTCAGAATAAAGTTTACTTACAACATCATTATCAGTGTTTTCTCCCTCCACATTCTGTCAATTACACAAAACTGTTCAATATACAGCAATAATACAAATAAACAACGCAAATATGACTGTAAAAATAGAGTCCACTATAACCTGCTGAGTGAAGAGTGGTCCTTGATTGGGAATAGAGTTTTCACTCTCAGAAATCTGAGAATCAAAAGATATATACTTGCAAATATCATCATCAGGTAATGCAAGATATTCATCTAGCATAGCATCCCCAGAAGGATCGTCCTTGATAGGATCACCCTCATTCACAACTGCAAGATCATTGGTTTCCAAGAATGAACCCTCATCAAGCAACGGAAGCTTCTCCATGGCATCCATGTATAATAGATCCAGATCCATATCATTCCCTGGATCATTGAAATTCAGAAGATTCTCAAAATTGCTTGGCTCACCACTGTGTTCATCTTTCACTGAATCTGTGACCACAACATGTTGCTCAGTCATATCAAGAGGCTGGCCATTTTCAGGCACAGAAATTCCAAAAGTGCTTGCCAATGGCTCCTGATCCTTGGTGGATACTTGGGAATGTTCAGCTTGGGTACTACACTCCCCGTAATGATAGTTCCACGACGGAAAAGTAACAGTCCCAATTATATCACTAAAATCAAGCTCCTGCATATGGAAGACATTTTTAATTAGAGAACTGAATATGCCAGGCCATTCAGCGAAAACCAGCTTAGAGCCACCCATACATGTTTGAAGAAGAAATCACATAAAGAAAAAAGCAGACATCTATGATCTATGATTGATGAGAAAACAGCCATAACAAGGACAAAACCAGAGGCAGGACTACATATTCATGAACGATGATCGTGATGACAAATCAATAAATCTGCATGCACAAAATGCTCACTCAACAGTCAACGATCAAAAAAGGAAAAACATACCAATTTTAAAAAGTAGCGATTCCCAAACACAATTACGTAAAGGACAACATGAACGGCATTAGAGTTAACAGCAACCTAAATAATGGCCCCACAATATCAAGATAGTAAGGCACCTGCGCAGAATACGAGAAGAAAATAACTACAAAGGACACCACACCACAACAGCACACAAGACAAGGTGAAAACATATCCAACTCCAATATATCAAACCCCATCATTTGGAATGGAATACAATGAAATGAATACACACATACCCTGTCAAGGTCGTCGGTTTCAACATAAGCCCCAGCATCGAAAACCCCATCATCGGCAACCGGCAAGGGAGCCACAGGCACGACATTCTCAGCAACATTCTCAGCACTCTGCAAAGGAACCACCTTCTTCTCCTCCTCGACTTCCTCATCCCACTCCTTCTCGTCCAAGGGAGCACCATACTTGGCCCCGTTCTTGGGCCCCGCACCACTCTTCTCGAAAATCCTACACAGCACAAACATATCCTTCTCCCCGAAACAAACAAAACCTCACCCCGACTTAGTACAACATTCAACAGAACACAACACCAAACGAAACCCTAAACACAACACAAACAGAAATGGAAGGAGAGAAATAGAAAACTACCTGCACAGTCCCAGCACGTGCCAATTCTTCCTCGAGAAGCTTATACTCGTGCATGACCCAATTGGTCCGACGGCCATGCGGGGCCCGGCCGATGTGGTAAACAAGGGTTTTCTTCATTCCGACGGTTCGGTCGCCCTGGTTGACGGCGCGGTCTTTCCCGGTGGTCTTCCAGTAGCCCTTCTCGGTGGCGCGGTTGGTCCGGGAACCGTTACCGTACTTGCGGTCGAGGATGCTGAAGAAGTACCATTCCAAGTCCTTGGTCTTGAGCTTCGACATGGCTGAAACACAGACGCACTTTCAGTTTTGAAACCCTAACGCTAAGGGAAAGAACAGAAAGGGGGGGATATGCTAACAGGGAAGGTCCCAGGGCTCGAGCTTGTAGACGTCGACGACGGCGATGTGGTCGTAGCGGGAGAGGTTTCCGGTGATCTTGCGCTTGAGGTAGAAGACGACGAGCTCTTCGTCGGTGGGGTGGAATCGAAAGCCGGGACCGAGGCGCGCCATGGATTGAATTGGAGAGAAAGAGAGAAATGGGGGTTAGGGTTTGGGTTTGGGTGGAATTGAGAAATGGTATGGTGATGAGTAACAGTGGAAGAAGATTCTAGATTTCTAGTAGGGAGGTTGAAAGTTGAATGAATGAGCCAAGAAAAGTGAACTGGCTGGGCTTTTATATTTTATAGGCCACACGTGGCGCGTCTGTGGCTTCGGATTGGCTTCCTCATGTCAATCGACAGCAATTAGAAATGTGCAAGACACAGTAAAAGAAGCCAATATAACTGAATCATTCGTCAAGGATATATTTTTATATGGTTTAAATGTTTTTTTTATATAGTAATTTCACTTATTCTATCTTTTAATTTTTATAATTTAAAATATATTTTTTTAATTTTTTAATTCTATATTTTTTTTATATAATTTAAAATAAATTTTTTATTCCTATATTTACATTTTTTAATTTTTTAATTTTAATTATTAATTTTTTAACGTTATCTCTTTTGTATTAATATGATTATAATACTATGTTTTATTTTTTTTAAGTATTGTAATTTTTTTAATAATTATGTATTATAATATTTTGGAGTTTATTGTTGAGAAACTCTAGGAGTTAAGGAATTCTTGAAGAGTTTTAGGTGTTTAGAGAAATTTTATAGACAAATATTTAATTTAATCTTAAGAAATCTTAGAGAGATAAATTAGAGAAAGGAGTATTGAGATTCTGAAATCCTCCTTTCTTTTTTCTATACTTCTCAAGCATGTGAGGATTGTTATCAGATAGTAATTCGAAGCTCATAGATAAGAATTCAAGTATGCCTTGATTTGCAAGCCTTGATGAATATGTTGTTAGTGAATTGAGAATGGGCATTTTTGTTGTTTATAAGTTTGATGAGGAGAATTTTGATTGTCTTGATCAATGATGATTGCATGTCGAATTTTTTGTTAGAAAACTGAACATGTCAAGGTTTTTTTTTTTATTAGAATGGGAGTTTTCTATTAGTAGGCATGAGGAGAGAAAATTGTTTCTAGCTAAGCCAGGTTGGGAGTGGTTTGAAAGGCATCAAACGTGAGATAAAAAGAATTGTCTTTGCCTGAATTGATGTTGGACATTAATGAAGTAGCATTGGACGTAAGGAAAGAGACTCACCTATGCCTAAAATGGGGTCGAGTGTAGACTTTGTCGCACTAAACATAAGGGCTCGGGGGGGCCCTAACTCGTCCACACCGGACACAATGAATGATGTTGGGCATGGGTAAGACAGAGAGTTCTTTGTCTCAATGGCACCAGACAAATGGTGGATAGCGTTAGGCGTGGTTTGCTTTGAAAACATGGTTGTTTGATTGATGATATGGTGAATATGGATAAGCTAGGTGAATTTATTGCATGTTATATGTTGATAGTTGTTATTGGTTTTATGTATATTGATATAGGATAATTTACATAGATGATTATATTTGTTGAATTGTTGAGGTGTTGGTGTTGAGAATATTTTAGGCATTTAGGCGTGATATTTGGAATAATTGTTAAAATGTTTAGGTATTGATGTTGTGAATGTTTTAGGCATTTAGGCATAATATGTAGAATAATTGTTAACCTGTTAAAGTGTTAATATTGAGAATGTTTTAGATATTTAGGCATATTTGGTGATTAACTTAGAATTAGAGGATATGGTATTTTTGAAAGTTGGATATTTCATTGTGAGAATATTGATGTGATGCTCTATGAGTCCAATTGTTGAAAAACCCTTATTGAATAGGTGTTGTCTCTTAGATGGATTGTTGAACCTCCTCTAAACCCTTAATTAATGTTTGAGTAAGGTTTGAAGTCAAATGCTAAAAACCCTTAATTGATTACTAGAAAGGTGTGTGATATCACAAGGATAGTTAGCGAGTTGAATCCACAGGTGACTTAGTTAATGTATGTCAATGTCATGACAGATTCATACCCAAGCTACATTATACCTGACGGTGGTACTGGACTTTTATAGTTTAAGTGAGGACATCTAATAAACCATGTTGTAAGGATTGGTATCTTAATTGATTGTTGATCTAGCATGTGTAAAAAGATTGGTTGGTTCAATACGGTCAAGTAACTTAGACTACTCACTCTCATTGTAGGAGATCTCCGAAGGTGAATGCATGATAACACATTAGTTGAGATGATTTATGTGTGATGTGGTGTGGTTCATGTGCTTGCTTATTATATTGTTGAATAATGACATTGATGTGGTGAACTATGAATTATCATATGTTGTTAAGTTGCCTAACTTGTAAGGTGTGGATTGCCATGTTACAATGGATATGTTATAATATTGTGATGTTGGCCATGACATACATGTTGTTTGGTTTGCATTTTGATGTTTGTAGTAAAGTTGTTTATTTTATTACTGGTATATGATTATTCCTTTGAATACTAGTTCACCATTGCACTTTTTCTTGTGATTAGACTGTGATAGTTATGTCTATATGGGAGCAAGGCATGGTTAGATGAAGACAAAATGTGGTTTTATGAGGCCATGTCGGGGATGGTTTGTTGCAGTATTGTTCGGTTACTCTGATGTAATCCAATTGGTATAGTTGTTGTTTGACCAACGACTATGACTATTATGTATTCAGTTATTCAGGATTCTGTAATTTTATTTATGTATGTACATCTTCTATGTTATGGTTTCATTGAGGAATTTTACATTTTTTATTTGTCTAAATTCCTATATATAGGTATATGTTATTGCATGTATATCCAATATATGCTTGCATTATAGTTTTAGTTAGTTATATTTTCCGATGCTTGTAATTGAATCGTCAAGTGCAGGAATCATAGCGGATTATTATAGTGATAGATGTATTAATTCAACTTTGTGTATTTGATATTAAAATTATTTTGCTAAAGTTACTCTAAAATAGGTATTTTGAAACTTTGTGTCTCTTTTATACTCTTACTTACAACATCCATTGTCGAGATCATGGATTATAAGAAGTTAATCCTCATTAGGAGGATTGGGATTTCGATTACGAAGTTTAAGATTGCAATGTTGGACTTGGATTAAAGAGAAAAACGTGATCACAAGGACGAGGGTGAAGGTGAGGTTGAAAGTTTGGTTGTGGTGAAGTGAATTTTAATTTTTTCTAAAATCAATTTACCTATGTGACAATGGTGAAGTAGAATATAACAAATATAATATTGTAGGATTTTTTAACGGTATTTAATGATAAATATCATTTTTTAAATATTATAAAAGGTTAGAGATGAAACAACAACAATAAAATTTTACCGAAACCAAAAGTGATAAATTACAAGGACAAAAAATATATTTAAACCTAAATTATATTATAATTACAAATTATAATAAATAAATAATTTTAATATATTACTAATATTTTAAATTTACAATTAATAAATTCGATTATAATATAATATTATTTTTAATCATTAATAATTTATTTTAAAAAATATTTTTTGAAAAAAAAAATCATCTATAAAATTACAATGACGATAATATGATTTGAATCTACAATGTGACACATACTATTTCAATGCCATCACTAGGCTAATTGTTAAAATCTAATTTAGTTATTGTATTGTAACTAAATCTAATTTAGTTATTGTATCGTAACTATAACTTTGTTATTTTGTTTGGGTTATTTTATATATAACTTCACAATAATAAAATATTGTCTGTTTTTAATTTAAGTTCTTGTGGTTTTGCTTTTAGTTATCACTCCAAAAGTCTTTATACCAATAAAGTATATATGTTTTATAAACGGTTATTTATTCTATTATTTTATCGATATGAGACCTTATTTATATCCCAACATATTTTTGAGTTACTTGTCTCCACTAAGAAGTCTAAGGCGATAATCGAGATTATTTACTTGTAAGATAATCTAATTGAACGTTTGTGATTTGCAAAATGATTATGATAACAATCATAATTGTTAAGATTTATGGGTCATTAATAGCATTAAAGATATAACGTAATGCGCGAGATTTAGACAAGATATAATATATCCTTATCTGGAAATGAAACTAATATATGTAGATTCAAAAGACTTTAAAAAGTCAAGTTATACTCACCAAATATTATGAGTCGAAATAGTAACTAGATTTCTTTAGAGTTAATGCTACATGTTATAGTAATTATAAAGATTTAAAAATGTATGTAACTAAAAAAAATAAAATACATATAAATACATATATTAAATATATATTCTCATTTACTCTTGTCAAACATTCACAATAAGGAGGTCAGGGGTTCGAATCCTGCCTTGTGTATGCAACCGCGTTAAATCTTGGGGCCAGCTATCCCATCCTTTGAGATGCCTCCAACGTAGCGAGGAGATTAGTCACTACTATCAGCGGTGGATATTCCAGGGACGAACAAAAAAAACAAAAACATTCACAATAAGGAAAAATTACTTGTATTTAAGGATGTTTCGTTTTTATAAACACGATGAGTATTAGTAAAATCAAAATCTGCTTTTACTTATAAACATTCAATGTAAATAAAACTCAATTAATTATACTTATAATTGTTTATTGTAGGTAAAATATAAAAAAAATGTTATTATAAAAACTAACATACTTGACAAATAAATTATTTATGAGTAATTGAAAATAGACATCTACTTTTAATTTTTTAATTTTTAGTGATAATTTTTGTCTATCACTATAAATTAATTTAAAAAAAGAAAAAGTTTCATTCATTCAAAAGACATTGTAACGTTGAAAGATCTAAATGGATTTATATTTTAAAATTTTAAATAAATAATCACATTTTCAACCTATCAAGCACATATTTTTGAAGAAGAAAAATGGATTTTATTTATTTTTAATATTAAATAATTAAATTATAAGAAATTCTAAAATAAGATCTAAAGGAGGGCGAAGAAAGTTTCTACCATTTTCAACATTTCAAGCTCATACTCTGCAAGAAGACAAATGATTTTTTTTTTTTATAAAATTATTAAAATCAGAAATTCTAAAAAAAGATATTGAGATCCAGACAAGAACAAGAGAAGTTTCTATATATACACCAACATTGTCCATTAAAATTACATTCTCATTTACTCTTTTGTCCAACATTTAATCCATTAGTGGGACCTTGTAATGTTGAGGGGTTAAAATCATTAACAATCACATTTTCTGCGGTCAAACACGTTTCCCTCAAGAGGATAAATAGTTAAATACATATTTTTATTTTTGAATTTTAAATCATCACAAATTCTATAATAAAATATTAACATCTAAACCAGAGAGGAGGAAGTTTCTATGTATACCAAAATGGTCCATTAAAAAATACATTCACATCCACTCTTCAATCAAACAATTAATTCATTCAAAGGACATCTTAATATTCAAAGATTAAAATAATGAACAGTCAAACGCTTTAAGGAGATAAATGGACTTATTTATTTTTAAATTTTAAATTATTAAATTATCAAATTCTGCACATAATAATTTATTCTCAATATGTTAAAACAATCATAGCAATTCAAGTAAAAAAAAATGAAATTATCTATATATATATATATATAGTCTGTTTTTTTCTCCTTAAAACCTGAAATTAATAAAAATGAAGAACTTGTTATTCTATTGGTATTTGTTAGTGCATGTTTATTTTAATATCAGCACACTTTTCAAAGTCCGTTCAACTTAATCCATGAATTTTATAATTTTGAATTCAACTTACGTTTGAAGCATGTCAACTATAAAATAAACATGCTCTTAAACATTCATCAAAAACAAATAAAGTAGTCTGGAATTTGATCTTTAAATTTTTGTACTTAAAAAATGTATATTAACCAAGAAAGACCAACTTTTTAAATAATAATTCTCTTTTATTTTAGGGATTATGCTCAATTTCTCGATGATAAGCTCACCAAAACAATAACATAACTAATAAAGTTATTTTTTAATTTATTTTTAACTAATATTTTTGTGAGTGTAATGCACATGCATGTTTATTATAAATAACATAACTAAAATTTATAATAAATTATATAAAAATATTATATTTAAATATATAAATTATATTTAAAATAAATATACATAAATATTTTTAAAAATTTGTCTTAAATTTGAGGTATTAAAATCATATTTAAACCTATATATTTAATATATTATGTAAAATTTCAATTTTTATTGAAGAACAGTAACGACAATATCTAAAAAATTATATCGAATGAACTTTATCTTTTAATAATAAAAATATTTACAAAGTTTTTCAGCATTAAATTTTTTATTATTATTTATTAAGCAATATTTTCTTACATGTAATATATATGATAGATAATTATTTTTATACAATTAAAATTTATTGTAAATAAATATTTTTAAATATATAAATTACATTTTAGATTTATGACAAAATATTTTGCATTATAAAAAATATTTTCTTATTTATTGATAATTTATTTTAAAATATTAATATTTAATTAATAAATAATTATGATAAATAAAAATTAAATTAGATAAAAAATTTAAAAAAATCCTTATAAACCTCTAACTAAATAAGATTCTCTTAACACTCTCAGATAAAAATTCTTATTTAATATATAGGAGTTAATTTTTTTAAGTTATTATAATAAATTATAGAGCAACCAGTATAGTTCAAATTTGAAATTTTAGTCAATAACATAAAATCAGACCCAAATTTGAGTTTTTTTTCTAAGGACCAAAAGTGAGCTACTTTTAAATTAGAATGAAGAAAATAATCACTTATAAATTTAGTGAATCAAAATAAAATTATGTCCAAATTTCATGAACTAAAAAAAATTAAATCTTTAAATTTTAAGCAATAGAACTTCTTAAAAAAATGATAATTTTTATTATTATCACAACATTCATCACTAAGTAAAATTTAATGTTTTTTTATGCATAAAAAAGGAGCCTGAAGTCCCAATCTCAAAAACCTCAATAGAAGGTTAGAGTAGACTAATTAAGTAACAAAATAAAGGATTAAAAAATGTGGAGGAGCATCATAAATACCTTTCACCACTATCTTAGATAATGAATCCACTTCTCATAACAATCTTAAATAATGAATTCAGCTTTCACCACCAACAAAGGAAGCCACGTGGTTTCTCATAAGACCACCTCAAGAACCTCTCCATCCACCTTAGTCAGTTGTTAAACAAGTTATACGAATTTATTTATTAGATTATTATGCATTTTATATTAAACTCGAGTATACGTAATCACTTCTAGTTAGGTGAAGAGGGTTGAAATAATAAAAAATATGAGAATTTAAATTCAATTTTTATTATAATCATCTTTGTAATCTTTTTTATTTTAAAAAAAATGCAAGTATAGATATTAAGAGGCACCAAAATATTCTTCTTTGACCAACAATATTAAGTCCAGTATTGGGTGTGCAATTACTATAAATAAATAAAACGTGCTGTTCTTTCTATTCTTTATTATAAGATTTTTCTTAAAATCTAAGTAATTTTTATCTAAATTTATCTTATTTAATGATATTCTACTTGAGATACTTTTTTTAATATATGATTTTTCAGTTGTAAAGTATGTTTTTATAAATATTTTTTAAAAGTTTAAGTAAAGTGGCCCAGTAAATTACGATAAGGACGAGAAACAGGAGAATAAAATTAAGAAGAATTGATTGGATGGTTGAATTTTGAATATCATAAGATGGATTGAGGGAAGGAAAAAAGATGAATTTCAGAAGCAAATACATTTGGAAATAGAAAAGTTGTTGGTCCCGTGAGAGTGAGGAAAAGAGAAGATGAATTATTGACATTAAAATTTGGTTACCATTTGAGAGTGACTTTTTGACGAGAGAAAGAGGAATGATTTTTGGATATTCCAATTTTTTAAATGTCCTATCAACACCTCAATTTTTATATTTCTTTTTCTTTTTATATTTGTTTTTCTCTGTTATCTCTCTCGTTAGGACTTAGGTGTCAAATAACATTATGACTGTCCAAATATAGTACAAACTTTAGTTGCAGTTTGATAGGATAAAGTTAAGAGACAGTAAATTTAAACGAGAATAAATGGAAGAAGAGCGGGGAAAGTGAAAAAATAAAAAATGATATAGAAAGAAACTATCATTTACTGATATATAAAAAAGGGATAATTAGTTTTTTTTTTAGTATACGGAGAATATTTTTAAAATTAACTTAAATATATTTTTAATCTCTTAAATTTATCGTAAATTTATTTTTTTTCTTATAATTTTAAAAATTCCTACTTTAATCTATGTATTCAAATTCTGCTAGATAATTTGTTAAATATTGTCACATAAAATCTACTTATTGATGTCTTAAAAACATCACATTAAATTTTGCTAATGTTGTATAACTATTTTAATTTATTATTTTCATATATATTATTAGTGATTCGAGCGGTTAAAACAATATTTTTAAAAATTATAGAAGTAAAAATAATAATTTTAAATTTGAGAAAATAAAAATAAATTTATCTTAAATTTGAGAGACTAAAATCATATTTAAATTTTTAAAATTTATATGACATTAGATATTTTCATATTAGATAATGGAATAAAAATAAATTATTTGAATATAAAATGATATTGTGAATATTCAATTATATATTTGTTATTTATTTGTTTTATGCTGAAAAAATAGGAAAAAAAAAAACCTTTAATCAAATTTAGTTGAATGTGTATCAAAGAAAATAGCAATTATTTATTGTTGTGCTAATTGTTATGTGATTCCAGCCTCAATGAAGATTATAAATGTGAAATCAAACATACATTAAACCCTTATTTTTATTTGAGAAAATCTGAAAATCCTGAAAGAGTCAAAGGTGAAATAATGAAAAAACACGAAATAAAAAACAATAATAAAAAAAAAGAGGAAAAGAAGAATGTTGCAGGAAGCAGGATGGTAGATGGTATTTTGGGTATAAGGGAAACAATCTTTCAGGTGTCTGTTTCCCATCATTTCCTTTTGTTGCCCAACAAATGAACAACAAAGTGCAGCATGTCTGCTCCTCCATTTTCTTTCACTCATACAACCAAGCAACACACATACACTATTCTTTTTCTGGAAAACAAACTCTATATAATATATTCTTTTAAACATGCATATTCAATAATCTTGTATCATAATTTGAAATCATAAAAAAGATGTATTGTTATTTATGACTCCTCCTCTTTTTCAAGTAAACAAGGCAGCAACCTCACCTCTTGTGTTTCCTTCCTCACATCTCGTCACTGGAAGAGCCAACCGCGCCACCACCTTCAGTTTGTTCTATCTTACTTAACCTTTTTCTATTACCTCATGCTTTGCATTTCCTTAATATTATCTGCATGCCTCATTGTGTCAACTTGCTTTATTTTCTCCCTTGTCCACTCTAGTGGACCAAATAACATAAATTACTTTCTCTCTTCTCAACTTTGATTCATTCAACCAAAGAAAGGGTAAGGGTGTGTAATGAAGATCCAGCTATCAAATTGAGATGCTACTAATCTATTGATTGAGATAGGCAAGAACTAACATGGTCATTTTCACAACAACGGGAAATTGAAAGTCATATGCTACACAATGAAAAGTTTGAAATGATAACATTGACAAGTTTAGCCAACGAAACAAACTACAATTCATACTCCGAAAACTAATAAAATATCCGATGCACCGAGGTCCATTACTCGGTGGTGACTAACTTAAACTGATACAAGGGGCATTTCCTAAGGATTTTGGACCAACCTCTTCAACTCCTCATTTTCTTTGCTCAGAATGTCCACACGAGACTGGAGGATGTTAATCGTCGCCTGTGCGCTCATCATCTCAAACCTCATCGTCTCTTTTTCAACCGAAAGCTTCTGCATCTCACTCTGCAACTGTTTGATGAACTTTGCACAATTTGGAGGCATGGATGATTCTAAATTTTGGGTGTCAAAATCTGGTGTCTTAATTGAAGCTAGGCTTTCCTTTGATTCAAGGGATTCTAGCAGGGAATACTCCACCAATGCAGACAGAAAATGTTTTTTTGGCACAGTATTCGTAGTTGTGGCAGCTGCAGTGGTGGTCGAGAGTGTCGATGCATTGGTGCTTATTGTGGATGAGCACAGATCCTGGCTGCCTTGGATTGCATCCCCAGAAACATTAGAGTGGTTGGAGTTCAAGTTATGCCGCCTTCGTTTGTATATTTGAGAGAAAGGCTTTGGGTTATCTGTTTGAGGTGATGGATCCTCATCCACATGCTTACAATTATTATCATCCTGTTCAGGCGATGGATACTCAGCCATGCTTTCCCTCTTGCACACAGCTAGAAGATTTTGAGTTTCTATAGGAAGCTTGTTCACATCAAATGGAGCTTTATTCATAGATTGAGTGTCCTGAAACAATTAAAATACAACCAAATGTCATGCCAATGAATGATACATAAAACTGAGTGTGTCAGTAACTCTAGATTGAGTGTCTTCTATCAAGACTTCATAAAACATAAGTTGAATTGCAATGGTCACAACTTAGAAATCTTTCTTTATAAAACACACCATATATCTGCCATAATAGATATGTTACAAATAAGCTTAAGAATCCAGCATCCACAATTGAGTCATTCATCTTTTAATATATTGTTAAAACTGGAAATCATGAGAAAAAAGATAGACTACTAAAACAATTGGAAAATACAGATTTGATGAGTCAAGGTCCTAATCAGAGATTAAATGTCGGCAGATGGGAACACATGTAGAAGCTAATTCTTCTACTAATTAAATCAACAACAGCACCAACAGTTAACTAAACCAGCAATTATAAATGGAAAATGTTGTATCCTCCGAAAACAGAGGCCGAAAAATTGTCCGAATAATTAAAAAATTATTATTTTTTAATAAATTTATTATAAAATAATTATTTTATAATAAATTTATTAAAAAATAATAATTTTTTAATCATTCAGAGCGTTTTCGGCTTCCGTTTTCGGAGACTGTAGCAATGCTCATTATAAATTACCCAACAGAAATAATGTCACCAAATTACGGTGAATTCCAATTTAATGAGGAGAAACAAATGAAATTGAATACTACAGTGTGCATCATATCCCAGGTGAGGCATGAAACACATGGTAAGGTCAAAAGGATTACCCTATCACTGTAGGTTTTCCACCAAGGGCCAATTAGAGAATTTATCTTTTATACAACTTAGTTTTGGACGTACTTGTAGAGCATCTTAGGGAGTCAATGTTTCAATGAATGTTTTTCGCAAATAATATAGTCCTAATGCTAGAGTCAAAAGAAGGAATAAATTTCAACTGGAGTTGTGGAAAAAAGCTTTGTAATCATAAGATTTCCAATTAAGGAGTAAAACAGAGATTATGCAATCATGAATGTAAATTCAACAAGATGCTCACTAGTGGAGAACATAAAAAATTGGACAATACCATACCACAAGTTATTTTTTATAGAATTCAAGATGAGTGAATATAACAAAACAAATTATTCAAGTGTTATTTGTGATAGAAAGGTGCTTTTTAAGCTCGGGGAAAATTTTACCAAACAACCATAAGACTAGAGATATGCCACTACGCTAAATGTTGGGTGCTTTTGAAATTATGGGAATTTAGGTAGAGAAGGAATACAAGAGAGAATAGTAATATAATATTGATATATGGGGTGTAATGATGTCATACAAGAAGGCTTTGCATACAGCCCAAATAATTCTTTTTTTGGTAATTACAGCCCAATTAATTAGTACTAGACTCCTAATGCGAATAAAACCAAATAAGGAAATATAATGAAATCAAGAAACCACTCTTGAAAGATAACCTGAGATCTTCTGAAGTATTCTAAGTAGCTAAGATGCAATAAAGATATTATGAGATATTTTCTAGATATTGTGACATTCTCCCTCCAAGATCAAGATCCCTAAACTATAAACTATATTGGCCGAGAGTTGTCATAGACAATAGGAGGTGAAATGCAGCTGATGAAAATTAAGGTCAGGTGAAATAATTACAAAATCACCACCTTTGTTCCTGTGTTCTGTTTTCAAATATCTATATAGAAAATAGTGAAAACAACATAAACTTGTCACCTAACCTCCATTTTTTTTTTCTGTTTGATTGTTTATGGATTTTGGCATTTGACATGCACAAAACTCTTGAACAGTTGAACCAACTTCTGGTGCAATAAAACAAGTTTTGCACAAACCTAGAGATAATTGATCTCAAATGCTGTGAAACTAACAATGTTTGGTTAAGTCAGCAAGATTTCTAGTCCTGTGGAATCCTTAGGTCCTAGGAAAATATAATTCCAAAGACATGATTCCCACAGATTCATAGCTTGTCTTATTTCACACAGTAGAGTCCTTCCTAAAATTCCCCCAAAAGGATTATAGTCAGCTCAAGATCCACACCAATGGCCTTTTCATCTCAAACACTTCAGATTTTGTCTCATCTCAAAATTTTCTTTGTCACTGAATTTCCACCAATAAGCATACCAAAGCCTTTGTAGTCATTACATAGTGTTGTGATGTTGAGTGATAGTTGACTTTTCTAATGAGCTTCACAGTGGTTCTCACAATGGTGATCACAAACTTGGGGAGAATCCAATAGTAACACCTGCAAGGACTTCGATAGTAAAGTCAGTATTAGCTTTAGGTATTGGTCAAAATGAGGAATAGTTACGTACCATTGTAAGGAGTCCTCTTATATAGAGGATGTTTGGCAGAAAAGTTAGTTACATTTGTTACACTTTGTTACGCCACATGAAATGTTTAGCGAGGAAGAAATGTGTCAAGTGCCAAGTATCTTAGTTTTGTCAAGTCTTTTTAATATCTTATTTAGCTCAGTCCATTTAGAACTTGCCTTAACAAATGTTAGACTATGTTTAACTTATAAGTAGATTGGCTTGACGTTGTAAGGGTGGTTGTAACAGAAGATCGTTCTATCCGAGCTTTGGTCCAAGTGACCTTTGAAATAGTTGCCCCCAAGTTTGTATTACTTAGTAGAAGTAATATAGGCTTAAAAAAAAAAAAAAAGTCGCAATAACCCTTAAGAACAAATAGCATGACCTTTAGGGTTTGTTTGGTTTAAAGGAGGGGAGAGGAGAGGATGAATTTCAATGGAGGAAAGGGGAGGTAGATCCTTTCTTATTTGGTTCACAAGGGGAGGGGAGGGACTTTAAAAACCAATTTATCTTTGTACCTTTATAATTTTGAATTTAAAAACACAAGTGAGGATATTTTTGACATTATACTGAAAATGTTTTAAAACCCCTCCCTCCTTTCCAAATCCTCCCAATACTGGAGGGGAGCTAAAATTAGATGAGAAGTTTTGCTTCCCTCCATTTCCCTCCAACCAAACACTATGTTAACCTCCTAGCACAAAGACATGGAAGCCCCCAACTTGAAAATAGAGAGAAGAGCAAAGACTAAATTATCTTGATTATAACAAGGAATATTGATACATACATAAAAATCCTAATGAGGCTACCCTAATCAAGGAAATAAGGAAATAAATCAAATTAAAATTGTAGTGTACACAATCACCCCCCCCCCCAAATTACAATAACTACAATATGCCAATTGAAGCCCCAAGGTGATGCACATATTAGACTACTCTCTAACTTTTCTTTGATGAAGTGTTAATCTATTACTGTATGTTTGGTTTTCTAATGTTGTAGTGGATTATGTTCAATTTTGATGGCTGAATTATCACCTAAATAAGCCTTGTAGGTTTCTCATACTCTATCCTGAGGTCATCAAATATGATCTTCTTCCACAAGACCTCACAAATTTTGTGAGCCATAGCTTGAAACTCTAACTCTACACTCAATTCTACAACCACATTTTTCTTTTTCACTCCTCTAAGTCACCAGGTTTCCACCCAAGATCATGCAATTCCTAAGGTGGATATACTATCTACAATGACCCTACATAGTCTACAATTATGTATACTTCCATTGATAACTTTTCTCCCTAGACTTGCTTGCAAGTATTTAAGAATCTTATTTGTTGCTCATGGATGTTTTCACGTGGATCATGCATGAATCAAGTGACTACACTTGCCACATAAGCAATATATGGTTTAGTGTGGGCCAAATAAACAATTTTCCCTACTAGTCTTTGATATCAATCCTTCTTTGTATTTGGGTTCTCCCTTTCACTTTCTATCCTATGAATATGCTCGATAGGCACTCCAAATGTTTCACAATGTAGCGTGCCTATTACTCTAAGATGATCAAGGACATACTTTCTATGATAGATGAAGATGTCATTTGTGGAGTAGACAACTTCTATTTTGAGGAAATACTTCAACTTTCCCATATTCTTCAATTCAAATTGAGTTGCTAGCCTTTCCCTTGGATTTTTCTTCAACTTCATCATTGCCTACAACAATGACATTATCTACATTGACCAAATGGATTGTAAGTGTCCCTTCCTAAGAATTCTATATTTATAGTGTGAGTGATCACCTTGACTTTGCTTATACCCCAAAGATAGCATACATTGCTTGGATGAACCTCCCAAACCAAGCATATGGAGACTATTTAAGCCCATATAATGTCTTCTTTGACCTACACACCTTATTTCCTCCATTAGTGGAATCATACGTTGTCAGTATATACATATGCAATTATACCCCCCTCCAAGACTCCTTGCAAAAAAGCATTTTTACAACATATTGTTGTAGCTCCCAGCCAAAGTGAGCTACCAATGAGAGAATAATCCTTCGTCATCTTTGCTATTGGAGTGAATGTCTTCTTATAGTTTATATTGTACGTTCGAGTATATACCCTTTTGCAACTAGTCTTGCCATGTATCAATACAATGTACAATCAAATCGATGTCACAATGTATATCCATTTGTGTTCCACTATCCTTTCACTTGGTTTTCAACAATCTCCCAAATCTTATTCTCTCCAATTCCTTCATCTCTTCATTCATGGCTCAAACCTAGTTTTAATCCTCTAAGGCTTCTTGGACGATTTTTTGAATGATGATGGAATCAATAGTTGAACCAAAGCGCTAATGTTGTGTAGAAAGATGCTTACTACATACAAATTGAGACATAGGGTACGTGGCACAAGAGCACTTTCCTTTCCTCAAGGTGATTGTAAAATCATTAGTATCGAGTTTAGGATTCAAAGAACTTGCCTTTGATTCAAACAACTTAGGTTGTTGTTAGACCAAAGTGGCTTTTTCCCTTCTTTGATCTTGGTGTTGATAGTACTGATCTACATTTACTACTTCATTCGATACTTGTACCCATCTCGTGCTTTTTGAGAGTAGCTACTTCTTCAAGAGTTGCAACTAGTTCTTTAATAGCAACTTCTTCCTCAAGAGCTGCAACTAGTTCTTCAAGGGCAAGGTTGGTTTAAGTTGAATGTTGCCACATCCAATAATAGAGGCATGGGGTCCATTAGCAACTGTAATGTATTGCTTTTCCAACAATTTGGAGGTTAGAGTAGGATGAGAAATAATGAGAACAAGGTGTCATATGATCAATGATACCTAAGTACATATTCTTATATCCTCATCAAACTACCAAAAACATTAAGAGAAACTATTAAAGTCATGGTAAAGGAGCAAGAGTCAGATGCCTAGCCAAAAGGCTATAGATTTCTCTTTAGACATCATGGAAATTGTAACCCACTCAAAAAGGGAGAAAACCAAGGGCTTCCAAACATCAACAAAACGAATGGGAGTTAGAGCAAGACAACCCCTACAATGGAACGACCTAGAATGTGGCAGCACAATCATGAATAGAAGACAAGATGGTGGCATGTGACCTACACACACCAAGATCTCTACTTACAACTGCCAATGTGTCAAAACTCCAATGACAAGCAAATTTTGGGGATAAGTCCATCTAGACCAAGAGCTTTGGTAACAACTTGAACATAGAGAAAATAAAAAAGACTAAATTGTTTCACTTCATTATAACAGAGAAAATTGATATATTGTATATAAATTCTGATAAGGCTACCCTAAGAGAGGAAATAGGGATACAAGTCACAAATTAAAGTTGTACACAATTAAACCCCTAACTACGGTAATTACAATCACAATCCTACTTAATTATAGATCATATTTAATTTTAGCATATATGGCCATGCCACCACCCTAGACACCCATGATTGTTAAAGTCATCCAGGTAACTTGGTTCCATGATATTTGGGATGAGATACCAAAGGCTCCTTTAATTTGCCACCAATAAAAACATTATCTATCTATGTAAGTTGCAAACTCATAACCAATGGAAATGACACCCTTAATGTGTTTACTATGGATGGCATCAAAACATTTATGGTGTTTCTCCCTTCTAACAAGGAACAATTCCCCCGAAGTTCACTTTTCCTAATCCAACCTAACTCCTATGTAGGTACGCTCTCACAAAGAAACCACAAAATTTTCCAAGAATTGAAAAGAAAAAAAAAAAGAAAAAAAAGGAAGGTCCTCTTGGTCACAAACTTGCAATTAAGATTCTCAATGTTGGGTTTGTTGGTAGAGCTACAAAAGTTGTTCTTTAAATTTTTGCCACCATTAAAAATCTTTGGACATTGACTCCAATGAGGCAAAATGGATCTCTACATTCATCCTCTATAGCCAATTTGTGGATTAATGTTGTTGAACAATGATCATTTGTTGTTAGACCTTTTGTAACATCTTCATCATTGTGTTGATGGAAACACCATGTCCAACTAAGTCAATGGCATTGAGCAAATGCTACAGCCACGTCTAGTTTTGCATATGGAAGGGTTCACACCTTCACAATGAAGAGGAAGGTTAATGAAACAGATTGGTTTCTAGAAATGTACCCACAAATTCAAAATCTTTCATTTTCACCTTTTTTCAACCTAAAATGGTACTTCACTTTAAAATGAAAGCTTGCTCATATCTCTCCCATTGTCTTGGAATCTAATTGGTAGTTTAAAGAATCCCATGATCATACACATAGACTCTTAAATGGAACAAGTTTCCACAATTCTACAACATGCATCAAGAATTTCAACAGTAAAATCCGAAGTCAATGCAATTACTTCCCAAGATAATAATCTGTTCCCAAACATGCACTAAGGTCCATTGGTTCTTTCATTAGGGGCCTTATTAGAACACATTATATACCAATGTGTATAAGCTTGGGCTGTCTTAACATGGCTCATTTGATGACTCAGTAAAATCGATGTCACAACTTTAACTGCATCAAATGCAATCATGTAGAACCCTGCTCCTACTCAGATCAAGTAAGATTTCCTCTAGTGGAAGATACTCGTGATCTCTACCCGGAAAAAAAAATTTAAGCAATTATTGCCCCCAAAATAAGATAAACCAAATATGCACTTAATCAGACAGCTGAACCCCACCTCATTGTTCTAGATTATATATCTACAAAATGCAATCTTTCTTGTTGCAAGTTTCCTCTGAAGTAAGAAGTACATACGGTAAAATTTTTTTAAAAAAATCACCTATTTAAGAAAGCTAAAAGAACATTTGAGATAAAAATTGTGCTCCTCAAGCAACCACCCATTTAAAAAAGTTAAATGAACAGAAAAAGATGAAAAATTGCACTTGAAAGTGATTTTGACAAGACAAACAAAAGTATCTACAAAATAAATTATTAGTTAGTGCAAGGATAAATTTTCAATGCTTAAAACAAACATTGAAAATGAATAGCAAAATCCATTGAATCAATTGATATATAAGAGACTAAGACAAACATACCCCAAAAAAACTAATAACTTATGGAACATAAATTTTTAGTTTTGGAAAAAATGGAGAGAGAAAATTAAGACGATAATAAACACAGTAGATGAATAAGAAGGATAAAGAACCCGTCATGGTGAGAAAAAAGGTATGGAGAAAATATTAATGTCGCACGAGGAACATTATTATAGCACATCTACACCTGTTGTATGATCACATATTAAATTGAAACTGACCAAAAGTGAGTGATTCATGTGTTACACCTGCCATACTATTGTTTTTATCCGGCTAGATGAAGTCAGTTATTAAAAGTGAGTGATTCATGTGTTACATCAGCCGTCCTCCTTTACCCGGTTTAGGGACTGGCTATGAGACCATATGGGTGTGCAAAAATTAATGTAAAGCATCAATGAATTTATTCCAAGATGAATACAAAAAATTAATTATTAATAACAAACATTGAATATAAACCGGAAAAAATGGAGGCAACTAACCTGTACAACTTCAGTGCATAAAACACCATTTCCTTCAACACGCGGTTGGTGGGCAACATAGCCATTATCCACAGGCTCTACCCCTGGAACCATTCCCGCTGCATCATCCCATTCTTCTTCAATGAAGGGAGCATATCGTTGCCCATTCGGAGGTCCTATGTTATTTTTGTGAAATACTCTACACAAAACATACGCATCCTTCTCCATCCAGCAGAAAAATGCACAAAAATTATTAACTATTTGTAACACAATAACAATGCCCACATTACACAGCACATAGCAAACTATTCTTTCGACTTTTACTAAAGAACAAAGTTCAAACTCCTGCATCCAAGAGTCATATACACAATTTCGGTTTGGGAACCACATATAATAACCAAGCTCCTTATTTTATCAACAAGAAAACGAGGAAACCCCTCAGTTGCTGCACAGAAACAGCACAAAATTCATACAGTTTAGGCCCATCTCAGGCTTCAATTTCTAAAACGAAATCTAGAATCTCACCTGGGGCTGAGAGGATCCAGTCCCAATCCTCTCCATCTCCTTTTCAGTAAGCCTGTACTCATGCATGACCCAATTAGTCCTCTTGCCATCCGGAGCCCGTCCACTATGAAACACCAAAGTTTTCTTCAACCCCACAACCCTTTCTTCATGCTTCACTTGTCGATCATTCCCAGTGGCTTTCCAATACCCTTTGCCCGTAGCCCTGTTCATCCTCCCCCCATTCCCATATTTCTTGTCCAATGCACTGAAAAAATACCACTCCTGGTCCCTGGTCTTCAGCCTTGACTTATCTAAACAAACATACAGCCCACCACCATTTCCAGGAGTTAAGAACAAAAAATCAGAAAACCAACAAAAACCCAAACCAAAGAAAGAAAAATCCATCCAAGTGAAGCAGCTGAGAAAGCAAACACACACACCCAGAAGAATAAAACAGCAAAAAATTCAATTTTTAGCATAAAAAAGGTGAAAAGATTGGGGAAAAGGGAGTGACCTGCCAGGTCCCCGGGCTCGCTCCTGTATATGTCAACCTCAGATATAGCATCGAATCTAAAAGGTTTTCCTGAAACCTTGCGTTTGAGGTAGTAAATAACAAGTTCCTCATCAGTTGGGTGGAACCTGAAGCCAGGAGCAAGGGAGGTAGGTGGTGCTGCCACTGGGTTCACTGTGGTGGAGGCAGTGGTTGGAAGGAACACACTTTCGCGACCCATGTTGGAATAGAAGAAGAAACAAAAGGGGTGGTGGATATGGTGATTAGGGCTTCAGTGCTGAAGTTCCCTACGCAAAACGGAAAAGATGGGTCTTTGATTGAGGGTCAAGCAACAAAAGAGAAGGGTACCTTCAATGTCAAGAAATTCTAACACTTGGGGGCTTCCAGGGATTGTGATTTTCCCATTTTCTTTTTCTTTTTCTTTTATACTTTATTTCTTCCAAAATGAAAATAATCAAGTTTGTCTTCTGCTGTGTTGTGTTGTGTTGCTGTTTCTTTTGAAACTCAACAACCCAAAAATAATCCCATCTTTTTCTCTTGTTGGATATTTTTTATTTTTTATTTTAAGTTAGATTGCATTGCTGTATTTGAATAAAAAGATGTAATTTGATTTGGATTGAAGGGGGGCTTTTTTGGAAAGCACACGATTGGGTTTTCTCTTTTACCGTTTTACTGCTCTCCAATTGGGAAGTGAGTAAATGGGAGGATTTTCTTCCTTTTATTGATGTGAGCAAATAATTTGGGACCATCTTCAGGCACATGTGGCCCATCCTTCTTAGTCTTTTGTTATCATCTTGTTTCAGGACCAAATAACTATTCTGCCCCTCCTCAGGCCAATAATTTTAACCCAAATTATATTCATACTTTCTCAAATTTAATATTCTTCTCTCTTTTTTTTACAGGTTTAATGATTATTGTAATTTTTTTACACAATTGATTATTATTAATATAAATTTTTAAAAATAATTATTATAAAGATTAATAAATTTATTATATGTAATAATTTGTAATTAAATGAAAACATAAAAATATAGTCTCCATCCTTATTTTCTAGTTTTTTTAGTTTTATATATTTATAAAAAAAATTACTTAGTTATGATGTTCCTTGACACGATATTTTTAAGATAAATTATATTCATATTTAGTACAATTTTATTTTTGTACAAATATAAAATAGTTTATATAATATATGAATATTTACATTATCATTCGATCATAAATATCTATTATATATGTCACTTTTAAAAAAATTATTTTAAAATTACATCTATTCTTATTTGTTATTAGTTGGTAATGTATAATATTTTTTTTATACTGCTACTAAAATATAGCAACCAAATATTTAAACGGTCGATAATGTGTCTACAACTTTGAGAGCATAATGGTTGTTTTTATGTTATTTATCATTAACATGGTTATATCATATGTAATTTACAATAATTTATGATATCACTCTCATTTGTTCGCCTATACTAAAATATGAAACATACACAATAATTACATTATGAGAAATTGATCATTTTCACTAAATAGTATCCTCGATAGTTAATATCATATATATTTCATGTTAACTTTATATGAAATAAATGTGTATATCAGGTTGAAGTTAAATTAATCATAAAAAAAATGATGTTGTTTGATAAACTCTAGGGAAGAATCCTTGTGTCTATGTCTCTATGACAATCTTTCAAGTTGATATTTGTTGATTGATTCAAGTTTATAAGTTGTTGTGCTTTGAATTCTAATCTTGAAGACAAAAAGGGAGGTCACATGTAAGGATTTAGACCCTGAGTTTTTATCAAACTAAACAAGATGGATATGGAATTAAACATACTTAGGTAGCAAAATGTTATTGGATTTTATAGCTTATGATTGATAAGATGAGAAGGAAATGTTATTTTATTGTGATGAGGTCTTTGTCTTCTAGAAGGTATAGTCAAAATTGTATTTTAATTATTTCAAAGTGATAGAAGACTATCACTAATGTTGTTGGGAATCATTTCAAGATTTATGTACAATTAGGATTAAAGCAAATGAAGTTGAACCATTATTAATAGAAAGTTACCATTAATACTATTAGGGGTCATTTCAAGCTTTATACACAGTTGAGATCAAAACAAAATAAGTTGGACTTGGGATGGGTTAAGTCCCAAGTCCAAAAAAATATTAATAATAACAAAAATTGTTAAGTCAATAGCTTTAATGTTGAAAAGTACTAGCTTATTGATGTATGTCTAAAAATGGGCATATGAGTTAGCTTGGCTTGTTTAAGATTCGACTTGCAAAACTCACATTTTAATAGGTTAGATAAGTTAAACCCATAAAATAAATAATTTTTTTCTCTTGACCCATATTTGTCCTACAAAGCCCATGGTTAAATGGACAAGCTTGCGAGCTCAAAAGAAAATAAAAATTAGAAGAATTTTTTCCCCTTTTTATGCTAAGAAAATGAGGCAAAAATACATTAAAAAAATATTATATAAAAAATAATAAAAAATTATGAAAGTCTTAACATATAATATTGACACATTTAAGTTAAAACATTAAAGTATTAACATATCAAACTTGCATATTTAATTTAAAATATATTAAGGTTAAAAAGTACAATATATTTTAAATTATAAAATATACCAAATTTAATACTTATCACTTGTATTTATTTACTAAAATAAAGTTAAACTCAATTATTTTAAAAGTCCTGCATAATAATTATTGGAAAAAATATATTTTTTAAACCAGTCGACTCGCAAGATTCACAAGTTAAGCCCACGAAATTCATAGACTTTGCAAGCTAAACTCAATTTTTGTTATGCAAATTTTTTTAAAATGTGTCCATTAACTATACAGGCTTGAATCTAAGTTCATATACTCACCCTGTGTCCGAAGTATTGGTTTGAATTAGTAAGTCTAAAATAGATATTAAATATGGTTTCTTTACACCATATAAGAAACGTGGATGTAATTTTTTTTACACCTTTAAATAGATTTTAAATTATTAAAATAAGTAAATGTCATTTTTTTTTATTACCAAGGAGTGTTTTTCATGGAACACAAAAACAATCTTCCTTGAGAGTTTGACAAACGTCAAATAAGTGGATATCCCTTCTCAACTTGAGTTTTTGCATTCACAAAAGTCATAATTCAAACCTTAGTCACTTGGTTAAGCAGCATGAGTCTTTACCTACTTGCGCCAACTCAAGTTAGTTGTAAGTAAATGACATTTAAATCAATGATTCAAGTCATATCGACTATGGCTTCTTTGGTAAAGTTTGTAAAGTCCTCAACGTTAAGAATTTAATTTATATTTTGTGATTTTTATCTTTTTTCATTTAAAAAAAACTGATCATTTGCATCTTAACCCAATTCAAAAAAATTGGTATCAATTAATTTAGTTCAACTTTTATTAATTACATTTTTATAACTTTACTATAGTAAAATTGTTTATAAACAATGCTTATTAGCTTAAATATGTTTTTAGTCCCTCAAATTTAAGATAAATTTGTTTTTGGTCTCTCAAATTTAAAACTGTTATTTTTAGTTATTGTAATTTTCAAAAATATTGTTTTAGTTCCTTAGGTCACTAATAACATATCTGAAAATGATAAATTAAGACAGTTATACAATATTAACTGAATTTAATGTGATGTTTTCACTATCAGAGACACTAGTAGATAGATTTTATGCAATAATATTTGATAAATTTATTAATAAAATTTGAATATAAAGACTAAAATGAGATTTTTCTGAAATTATAAGGATTAAAAACAACAATTTTAACAATTTTAAATTTGAGAGACCAAAAATAAATTTATCCTAAATTTGAGGGAGTAAAAACATATTTAAGCCATTTTGAAAATATAAATTTATGATACATTTAATATTATTAATTAGATTATTCAACTTTTTATTTATATTGAATTAGGTAAGTAAGTTTATATAAAATTATCGATGAAATATTAAATAATTTAATTTATAAAAATTTTAATCACGCCAATAAAATTTTAACTTAAATTTCTGCATATATTACTCCAAACTTTTCACAATTAACCTGACCCGAGTGGTAGGATGAAATAACATACAAAAACTCTTTAATATATTAATGCATATATTATATGGTTAGAAATTTTAGCACTATTGTGCATATATTATCTATTATATAAGTAAAATATATTTTTAATTTAAGTAAAATATAAATATATTATTTTTAAAATTATAAGAAAATTAAGGGGGGTGTATTGGATTAGGATTTTAAAGGACTTTTTTAGTTAAAAAAAATCCTGCGGATTTTAAAAGACTTTGCAGGATTTTCATTACTTTTAAGATTTTGCAAGATTCTACAAGACTTAAAATCAGGATTTTAATGGATTCTGCAAGACTTTTAAATTAGGATTTTAATGGATTCTGTGGGATTTTGTGGAGTTTTGACATTTGATAAGATTTAAAAAAAATTATACATTCAAATTTAAAAAGAGTCAAAGATAAAAATAATAAATAAAAAAAATAATGTCTAGATAAATAATAATAATAATTCTCTATAATATTCTATCCTCTTTTTATAGCATCCACTATCAATTGTAACAATTCATCGGAATCATCCTTAATCCAAGCTTCATAGTTTTCTTTCTCTTTTCATTTTTCTTTATTATTTCCTTGTGAATCTCCCATTTGAATTACTAAAACAATATATGTTAAAAAATAGTTATATAAATAATTACGGATAATAGACAAAATCAATAAAATTATATTATTATTTTTAGAAGCACACCATCATACAAGATCGAATATATTTTTGCTATCCAAATGGATCAAATACCTCAGTTATTATAAAAAAAA